CCTGCAGAGGTAAAGACGGCAGAGATCAAGGCCACTGAAGAAACCAAGGCCGCTCCAACCGCCGAAATATCGGTGTAGGTGCCGAGGTACTCCTTGTGGCAACGAGTGCCCGGCTTCTAGCTTTCTCACTCAAGTCACTCCTCGAGTGACTATAAAGTCACTGAAGTCTATGCGAGCAAATTGCTCGCAAGTGTATAGTCAGTTCTGTCGAAGGTTGAGGTCTAGTTTCCTGCATTGCAGCTTAGCGGTTCCTGGCGTGGAGTGCAGGGTCGCAAGCGCAGCGCAGAGTAGTCGCTTGGGTAAAGCCCAAATGACACCTGACAGGCCTTAACAGCCTTTGCACGGAGTGCGGGGTTGCAGGCACGGATTGTCATCTAAATTCGCAGAAAAGGTTACTGCGGACGACCAGGGTTCCAAACCCAAACCTTCTCCTCCTCCTACTACTGCTACCGCTACTGTTGCTGCTGCCACCGTTACTACTGCTAATGCCGGCAGTGCTGCTACTACTACTACTACTACTACTACTAGCAGCAGCAGTAGCCTCCTTCTTTGAAGCTGGTCCAACACGGAAGGTCGGAGGTGCGCTGGGTTCCCAAACTCAACTTTAACGTACATCCCGGCAGGTAATTGTGGCGGTACTGCATACAGCTTATATGATATGAATTTAATAGAGCTCGTTAATGCTCGCTTCAACACTGTCAACCATGCAGTGCAGTCCTCCAGGCCCAAGTCCGATGTACTGAACACCCTCGCGCAGGAAGTCCCTCAACCTGAGGACCCAAACTCCCTTTTCAGCCTAAATCCTGCAGGTGGGCATCCACGTTGACGCCGCCTCCGGCGGATTTATCGCCCCTTTCCAGGTGAGGAGATAGGATTTCGGGTATAGCGGAATGGAAGTTTGGGGCGTAGGGCGGAGTTTGGGAAGAGCTCACAAAACCTCGGAGGCGTTAGATTTTCAAAGAAGCCGCCCTGCCTCGTTTATCTCCGCAGCAAGCTGATGTATGACTTGGGAGTACTCCGGCCTGGGTAAAATTGCTAAGCTTGGGCAGCAGATTGACGACACTGCGGTTGATTTGTTTGCAGTCCCATACTGGAAGACGTCATACATGCATGCATGCAT